ACATGTCACAAACATTTATGGCAAATATTTACGTGTGCTTTTAAAGTTATTTTTTTTCAAAATATTTTATGAGCTTGCATTGTCTTCGCATTATGCAAAGAGTTTCCAAGAGTTTGCTTATAGAAAGAGTAAATAGTTTACTTAAATTAATTCAAGTTTCTTATTTTTTTATTATAATGATATACAAATAACTATGAAGTTATAGATTATAAAAATTTAACTATTACACTATTATTTTAATATCTTATATCTTACAACCGTATTTTTTTATTATTTATATTCAAAAGAATTTAATGAATGCAAATACGTTTTGTTTATAATATTTAAAGTTTATTAATTTTAAGATTTATTTGATGGCCGCAGTATTGTAATGTAACAGTATTTGTGCATTATAGCAATTCAGTGCACAATATAAATATGTCCGTACATGTAACTAGATCAGGATAACTTTCGTAAAAATATAACGTGTTTTATTCGTCTACTTGCTGCTTTAAATATAAGAACGCAAATATCTTCACTACACGACATTATAATACTATCTATACAATCTTTATATATGGATAAGCATTCATGAAAAGCGGCGAATGCTGTATCGTATCAAACGGTTCGTTTGCTTTCCTTACTTATTATGACGCTCTTTCCGATATCAGAGCAGAATGAAGGGCGCGCTTGCAATATTATGAAATTTTACGAAGTACAGACGAACGGAGATCCTCTTGGGGTAGATACGACGCCATATGCTGCGAATGCGTTCCCGTCCGCGCCTTGGGAATGTTTCTGGCGTTATGTTTTCGTATTAACACCTGCTGTGGACCTGCTGCGCCCCCTTCGTCCGCGCGCATCCAGACGCTCTCAGAATATGGATCTAACTTTCAACGCGAATCGTACATTTTCCAAATCCACCGTGGTGATGGTGGGCGTACAGCCCCGACGACCCAAGGAAAATTTCTTTCTGAGATCCTATTCAGGCGTCGCTTTTGCAGCGACGATCAAGTGCGATGTGGATCTTCGGGAACTTTCTTGAAGCATTTCTTGAAAATTGAATCACAACGCGTCGATTAGAAAATTTTTGAAGATTATTTTTGAAGATTATTTATTTGGATAAATTCATTTTCTGTTGCGACAATTTGAATATTCATATTGCAAAATTTTTATCTTGAACATCGCTTAGAGCTTGAGTCGACTTTAAACGTCGGATTTTAATGAATTTGATTTTCTCTCATCTTATCGTGATTCATAAATTTTTTTTTCTTTTTTAATGCATAAGTTGTAACCATATAAATTATAATCCTTGAAGGGAAAATGTCACTAACGACCCACATACGGTGCGACAGATTTTATTATCGTTGCCGTAAAAAAGGTTTAATTACGCGATTCGTATCGAGGCAAATGCTGTTGGGTCAAGTGCGGCTTAAGCGTTTTTTATCTCATCTTTCCACTTTAAACGGTGCATACGTTCAAACTTCAGACGTGGTGGGAAAGGATTAAATCCTTTTCACCTCGTTTCGAGGCGAACAAAAAATATCTCCGGCCACGCTAATACCCGCTTGCACGATATTTTGCCCGTTACCGTCTAAACCTTTAGTCTTTATCGTAGAAATAAGTAAAATGCAGCAAAGAGACTTATCTACTAACTTATACGACACAAACACGAATACGATGCGACTCTCCGTTTCACTAAAACCTCGAATGTACGTGTTCAATCTATTTCAGAAAGTTTAACCGTTTCTTTTTATAGGATAACTGATTTTATTAGCAAAATATCAATAGCACTTGACAGAAATGTTTGACGTTAAGGACAAGTATACCAACAAAAATATTATATTATAACAATTATTTTAAAGTAATTAATAGAGAGAGAGAGAGAGAGAGTGTATAAACGCAACTTGTTTTTCGTCTTCTAAAGAAGAAAATATATTCACGTATATATTTAACAACGTATTTCACATTTCGAGACGCCACGTTAAATCTCGACACGTTAATATGATAATCGAGATACCTAATACCGCATACATTAAAACAGAAATTTATGCGGATGCATGAAGAACGAAATGCTGTATTCAGTGTTACGAGAGAATTTCATATTTCCGGCAAGATTTGACCTTACAGTGTTCCAACGCTCATGGTGCAACATACGTTCATATGAGAACATATAACTGCGCTCATAGAACGGCACGAGGACCTTTCTTTCTCCCAAACCTTTTTCTCTTGCCAATTCGCGATCGCGTTACATGGTTCTGGAATCTTTCCAAGGAACCAGCTTCGTGATTTTTAGAGCGAAGATTGAAGCGAAAAGTGTATGCAAAGTACCTCTGAATTTTCCGAGATTCTTGGTACGTTTTCGGGCTTCGTGTTACTATCTAAGTAATATCGACTTGACAGAGTCTTCCCGTTGTTACACGGCGCATTTTTCAAGAATCGTATGATTTTCTGTAAGGAAGCTTACAGTGTTTATTATCACGCTGACGTAAAGTGCTTTGAATAAAGCGTGATAATAACACAGAAGAGATTTCATCGCGAAATATTAAAAAGAAAATTTTCTCGATGGTATTTTTCAAGAAAATTTACGATAATACGAAAAGGAATGTGCTTACTAGAAACAATTTCGATTACATTTTACAATCGTTACGAAATCACTAATGTTATGAATTTTATGATTTTACAATGAATTAAAATAGTATCGCGAATAAAATAATAAGATAAAAATAGAATATAATTCTATAATTCTTATTAATTCACGCGATTTCACATATATATTATTTATTAATAAGAGATACTTGGTACATTATGATAAATGTACCGAGTTTTCAATAATACTGTAGTAAGATTAACCAGTTTCAAATCTATTAAATTTTCATTGTTATTCTCCCGATGTTTCTGACTCGTTAATATTGTATTAACACGGATAAAGAAGTTCTCTGTGCTCTTACTTTTGTATTAACTTCTCATATTTGATCACGTGAAATATGAGAAAAATATTGTAATATAAACAGAGTTATATATAAAAAAATATGAAGCAAAATGAGGCATAAAAAGATATGGTACGCCTCAATGCTTGCTACTAATTTTATATATTTAGTTAGCAAACTGAAAAAGGACACAGCCTCGACCGTGTTATTAAATCTCGTGGTATTATTAAATTTTCCGTCATATCTGTGTGTGTGTGCGCGCCGTTTTACTCGGTGCTGCAGGTGCTGCCTGCGCTATATTTTATTACATTAAATCATACTGGAGATACAATTACAATTTCTGTCTTTAGAAAGCTTTGCACGTTTCCTCTTATTCAGCGACCTATTTCGAGAACGTCCCTACCATCCGTCTTGGCAAGGCCGACAGTACGAGAAAATTTAATGAACGTGACTAGATCTTATCGAAGCACGGCGAGAGTATGGCGGAGAAGTCAACTTGGAAATGGGAAAGATTGGCACCGCATCGTCACTGGTTTATATAAGGCGGAATCTGCGAAAGTGACTTTTACGAATTTTACGATGCTCGCGCCGACAAGTAATCTGCTGCAGTTTGGCACATCCTTTCGCGTTTCTTTCGTTGAATAACAATTACTTACTGCTACGTCACCCTTGTAATTTAACTCTCGGAATATGTAAATTGTTGTTTGAGCGAACTTTCTTCGAAGCGCGCTATTTCAACTTGCAGCTCTCCATCGTAATTTTAAACAGCCTTTCCTTTCCCCGCGTTTTACAATTTACTACCGATATCTTAATGAATGAATGAATCTTAATGAATGGTAAACCGGCAATCTGCGGTTCTGCGAAAGCTTGCAGAAAAATAAAAGCGCGCCGATACAACGAGTCCCAGATGAGCGGCGGCGCAAACTGGGAGCGTTAAGTTATAACCGAATTTGCCGACGTCTACTTTAGAACATTTACGCCTCTCACGAGAATACCTTGGATACCGGGCGATTTGCATCGTTAGATTTTAATTACGTATAAGTTCCGGCCGTATTACGAGTCGGGGAGTTGAGCGAAAAAAGAAGGGAAAAAAGCGGGATAAAAACCCGAGTTTCAAGTACATTAAAGCATCTCGCGGGTTTCCTAGGAGATTCGACATAGACAAACGGTCGGATTACTTCTCTCGCGAAGCGAAAAGCGCGGCCGGGTAGAACGGCCAACTTACCTTCTTTTTTTTTTTTTTTTTTTTTGTTTTCAAAGTTGAGCCCAACCGACTGGGGCTTAATCAGTTGTTAATCCAGTCTGGCCAATTGAAAGTTGGCAAAAATTAAAGAGAGCTTCTTGAAGAGACGCACTTGGTTGCTGATCTCCCGAGAAATCCGCGTCTCTCGCACGAGTGGTTAAACCGCGTCGCAAAATAAGAAAAGGGATTGGAAGTTACGCTCTCGTATGGCGTCGTCGTAAAACCAGCCAGTTTGCGACGGGCAACGCCGCTCTGTAAATTGCGGCTCTCATATGTCGTGCTTTCTCCCCGCTGCGTTGTGTAAAAACTCTGCCGTACGGACGACTTTAATTTACGTCGTCCACCGGCAACGATAACACGTCTGAGACTAAAAAACTATTCCGCACGCGCGCGCGCGCGCGCGTGTGTTTGATAAATCTGATTAAATGCGACATTGCTCCCGCTTCTAAATTGCTCGCCTGAGACGTTAACACTGCTGCATGTTTGTAATTTATTATTACAGTTTGTAATAGCGTCTCCGAGGAATTAACACCAATTTTAGTTGATTCTAAAATGATTACAGGATTAACTGTGGTAGTGCGCAATTATCGTCGAACTTTAAATCTACAAATAGATTGACACAAAATATAATACACCTTTAAACTGGAATATTTTGCATACGCTTGCACTATTTTGTTGAACAAACATTTTTTATGTCAAAAAAATACTGCATGAACCATAAATATTATTATACTCTGTGTGTGTGTTTTCTTTTTTCGCGCGCCGTAATAATAGCTCGCGTTCGACCAGATTTTTCAACGCTACGAGGTCACTAATTGAAGCGGTTACCGGGTGCTTCCTTGTTACAGAGGCACCTCGTGGGACGTATCTGCTGATAGATGGCCGCCGGCTGGATCCCGGAAACCAGTTCGTGCCGGTAAAGGAGGGCTCGGAACTCACTCTCGAGTGCGCAGCCGAGGGTGGAAACCCGCCGCCCATCTTGGCGTGGGGCATGACCTTGTCTCAAGCCACTTTAGACGGCCCAGAACAACCGCCGGACAACCTCACCGTATTGCCCTCAACATCCGGCAGGCGCAGCGGGGCTCACCTCAAGGTCCTGAGAGGACATCATAATGCCACTATCGTTTGCGTTGCGCGTCATATCACGCTGATAATACCGATGAATGCCAGCATCCTGCTCGACGTTCAATGTGAGTACATCGAATATCAGATATATCGATCACCAACAATCGTGTTTTAAATGCGAAAAGATACCGAATGCAGTTTCTCTATTTATTCACCTTTTTCTGAAAGAAAAATTCTTTAATAAGTATAAAGTCTATATTTTTTCCGTAATGAATATTGCGGAAAAAGAGAAGTTGTCAGATTACTCTTCAATTTTTAATATTAAATTTCTGGGTACATAAACTTCAAGCGAAACACCCATGCCGCACACACATACGCACACTCTCTCTCCCTCCATGTTAGAGTAAGGTTGACGAAAAATTAATCGGAAAGCTTTATCATCTACTTACTCCTCTGAAGGGTTTATCTTTAGTTTTGAAATATCTCTGTAATTAGACTTTCCTGGAAACTTGCTATGAACATACAACGGCGTACCAGTACGTCGTAACATAAAAATAACAAGAAATAATCAGAGATTATCATACATATGCATGAGCTTAAATTGCTTTTTGAGATAGAGCGAGCGTGAAATAATTCCGCTGGTTTTTACTCAGAAGTCAGTCGGCGGGCGCGAGCCTGTGGGATTTCCGCGATATTAGACCTCGCGCCAACATGCCGGAAACGAATTACGAGTAACGGTGTGCCGCGTCGCGGCAGGCGGACGAGCCGTGTGCCCATCGAAACTGAAATACAAACTTAATTAAGTCAGAATCCAGCGGCGCCCGCGACTCGTTTAAAGCGAGGGCCTGCAAAGCGAGAAGGAGCGGCTTTGCGTTGCAGTTGAGGCGCGACGATCGTGTTACAAGAGCGGTCTGGGAGAAGAACGCGTGGGCGGCGTTGAAGAGATCCCGGGTAGTTCCCGGGATAATACCGTGTATTATGCGACGTGGAGGTAGTTTATTTGCGCCGTAGCGCCTCTTTCGCCACTCCGGCATCCAGGCGACCGAGGTTAGTCGGAAAGTGTTCCCGTCGCTGTGCTAGGGGTGGCCCCGAGTCTCCGAAAGAAGCCCCTCCGGCCGACTCCGAGGCAAACTCCGAGGGATTAACTCCGCGACGCGAACAAAAACCGGTGGAAGCGTGCGAGTGCGCGCTCGCCGTCGCCCTTGCGCCCTTTTTACCGCGCGTCGCCTCTTCGGGCGTTTTTGGGTGAAGCGGGGAGGCTCGTCGAGCCGAGACCGCAAAGATATATCATCCGAAACTGGTTCCCGCCTCTTCCCCTTCAGTCGGTGAACTTGCCGGTCCTCCCGCTTTCGTCTTCGTTGTAGAATAATGCGTGTATTCGCAACTCTCGCTTTCGATTAGAATTTTACAAATTGGAGATAGAGAACTCTGATTCTTTTAAATACTTGTAGCAGTGATAGAATATAATCATGCATGAAAGATTGCAAAGTTTTTATTATTTTTGAATATATGAGCTTATTTTATCAATTTTGAATATACATGGCTATTGAAATGCTGTTACGCTTTAACTCCGCTCTTACAACGAGAAACATTATCTTTGCCGAGTTTAATGGAACTGTGTGCGAACGTCTGTATTATTCTTCGAAGAACAGTGTCGCGTCGCGGACCTTAGTTTGGGAAACCCTGCTTTAGATTACACGCTTAACGGAACCAGCCTTGAGCCTCGTCGTCGTGGACAGTTCTTCTTCGTGCAAGGGGAGCCCATTGTGCGCCGACATTATTTCGCTCTTTTAATCCCTTCACGCCTGTCCGAGCGCCACGTCGTCCGGCTGCTCGAGGCTGAACGAGTTCCTCGAGAACTTACTCCACGAAGGAGAAAGTTTGCTGCGAGTCGTTTAACCGCCGGGGAAAAAAGCGACGAGATATATTGAGACACGTGGATTTCTAGCCAGGATTTTCAAGGACACCGTAGATCGATTGATGTGATTAATGTGGCCTTCCAGTAATTAACTTTAATGCTCGGATGTTTCTTAAACGATAAATAAATGAAGTACATTTTATGCTTAAATATAAAACATCTCTTTTAAGACACAGGCATACGTGATTATAGACATAAATATTTAACAGAAAATAGATGACGATCGACGATGTATTTTTAATTTATTTAATATTCACCGGAGATTTTTTTCTACCGTGATTTGCGAGAATCTTTCGTGTTTTTCATCGAATTTGCGGCGAAACGGGTACTTAATTCCAAAGGCGATACGGGCGTGAGCAACTGAGCTGAAACGCCTCGAAGATGCAAATTTTCTAGGCGAACAGCTTGCACGCTCAATGTCTCAGAAGGAAGAGCGGATGCGGGTGTCTTACGGGTGATAGTGACAACGTACGGGTCGGCCGTGCGTCCTTCCTCTTCCTTTCTCCCGTACTTTTTGTCGTGAATTTATTCCAGCCGTACTTACATCCCCGGGCTGTCGCGCGGAGAGGCAGGATTGAGTAGGTACATTTGTCGGCACCTGAGCGAGCAAATTTTCCGGTGGGACGAACACCAAAGGCTCCTGGACGATATCCCGGGACGCCCTTATGACACCGGGGTGAGAGGGAAACCCCCGCGGTGACCCACTTTCCATATCGTCGCGGCGCATCGCCGTTTGTCATTACGCGTAATGCAGGCTATTACCGGTTGTCATCGTCCGGGCACCCCATATCGAATAAATGATTTTACTTTTAAATCGCCCCGCCGCCGACAACGCGATTAATCATCGTGTGGCGCTCGTCGACTCGCACGCCGAGTCGCTCGCCCTCTCGCGCGCTCGACTGCTATTTTACATAAGTTTGACTCTCTCCCCTCTTATTTTCCGGTAGAATTTTCGATTTGTAACTTGCCGGCGACGGCCGGAAAACGCGATCGGATTCCCCATAAATCACTATGATTTTTGACGACAGTCGTTATTTGCAGCTGACCCGAATATGCGCAACGGCAACCTCCGGGGCGATCTCCCTGTTCCGATGGCGCGCTATGAATATGTAGCGCGCGTAGCCGTAAAATTCTAACCGCTGGATACTGAGCGAGGCGGGCTTCATCTCGGTGTACATTCTAATCGATCTACGGGGCGCGCACTCGCTTCGTTAACCCGACTGTTCGCGTTGTGAATTATGAAAGCGTGGCTTGAGTAAAAACTTATTGCTTTATCCAGCAATTACCGAGAAATCGTCGTACATTTTACTTCTTATATTAGCTTTGCTCATCTTAATTTCTTTGCTCTGTAAAGATGTCATCGAAGCTTTGAATATTTACGCGCAAATTATGAAAATTGATTAAATTTAGCTGTTAGAGTAATATTTATTATTTGACAGTCATCGAAAGAATTCAACAGATTTGTTTTATAATACAGTCGAGCGACAAAATTATTTTGTTCTTATTAATATTATTGGCAAAATTGAAAGGAGCTTTGCGTAGATTGTTTTTGTGTGTTAAAACACACTTTATGGTACTGTTTCAATTTTACCATTGAGCGAAGATTTCTAAAACAAGAGCAATATTCTCGCAGAGTCTCGCTAAGCCTCGTATTAAGTCGTGTCAGTTATAATAACAAATAATAGCACTTGTAGGTATTTGCACTTGAAATACTAAAGTACTAATTGGCACTTCAGAGATCTCTAAATCCTGCAGCTGTTGTCGTACTGAAATATACTGAGTCGCTCTCGTTAGTCACAATGAGAATTTAATCGCTCTGAAAGAGCACACAAGTGCACTACTATCCTACATAAGTTATTGCGACAAAGTGCTATTTATGTAGTCGCAACTTGTAATCCGATTTCAGTTTTAAAGAAGCAATTTTTGCAGATTTGTTGAGTCAATTGAGTCAATATGTCAGAAATTGAATGACCAGAATACTTTTTTTAACTTATTGTAAGTTTAACTTCTTAACTTCCTATTTATCATAAAAGTAAATTCAATTTTGAGCGATAAAGCTGCTGAGCTTAACCAAATTGCAAATTTTCTAACTATTGAATAATAGAAAAATATAAAATAAAAATAATAGTAGAAAAGAATATTGATGATATTTATCTGTCTAACATTGCAAATCGAAAGATAATTTTGGGAGTTTTTGATCATATTTATCTAACCATATTTATTTTCCTGAACGCATAGAGAACGTTTTTTGATTTTTTTTTTCGTTGAAGCACGTTTTCTCATGCAGGAAATATGCAAATGACGCGATCATCATGCTTATCGTGTTCGAGTTCCCAAACTTTTTTGATCACTATCAGATGCAACGTATTTGACGCGCGTAATGCTCAAAGAAAGCTGCGGACCAACATTCATTCAAGTTTGCGCGAAAGTTCACGATATTGGCATGTACGTCGGTTAATAAGATGCAAAACACTTGGGAACTAGCCGTCGACGAAGACGACAAGCGTGCGCGGATCAATATGCGTTCCAGTCGTGAAATGCGATCTCGTATAACACGATGCGCTTAACGCGTCAAAACGACATACGTGTGGAGATTATAGTCTCAGAACGTATGTCAACTTAAATTTCCGCTTAAATTTATTTAAATTTAAATTACGAGTCGCGTGAAATGTTGCAAACAAATCTTGATTTTTTAAAATTAATAACGCGTTTTATGAACTTGTAATTTTTTTTATCACGCGTAATTAAAATATACTTCTAATATCGTCAAATGAAAAACCCTCGTGCAAGTTAATTAATGCAAGTAGAAGTAAAAAATAATGTTTGAAAAATATAGTTTTATTAATATAGAAAATATTTCATCTATAACTAATATTATTTCATTAATTTTATTGCTGTGATCAAATTAACTTTCACAAGCTTTCTTTCCATGAATTCCATTCCGTAAATTTCGTTTCACCACAATTTGCACTTCGACTTCTTTCATATTGCAAAGAAAGTTTAAATAAATAAATCATAAAATTGAGTAATAAAAGTTACAAGGGATTTTCAACTGTTGTTTTTTTTCAATGTAACAACTGTTTTATCGTATCTGCCAACAATATTTACTAACAAACAGTGAGGAAATGTTTTATTTGAAATTCCAATGCTTGTCAACTTTTTTTTCATTAATTCCGCGTGTATAGCGGTCGAAATAACTGTTATGGA